ATTAGCTGTGAATTTTGAAAAGGTAGATTTCCTCCTTGTTCCTAAAAGTGTTTCCAGTCACAGTACTATTTTAGGGTTTTGTCTTTTCCCCTCTCCAAATATAACTTGGTAGTTTTTATGAGCATGGAGAATACAGTAGTGGTTTTGTAAATACAGGGTAAGTAGTCCCTGCTTCAGGTTGGAGGGTGCTGACTACTCTTACCTTAAAGTTTGAAATTAACATCTCTATGCTATGGTTGTATTTGGATAAAACTCTTAAAATAGACCGTTTTTTCATTTAGTTCCCTTTATTTGAGTAACTTAAAATGCTTTTCTTTGGAGGATTGAATTTGCTTAGTGACCCATACAGCTTGCTCTGGAAATGAAAATACGACATTAGCTGTTTTTTAATCCTTAGGTTTAGTGGGTTTTTGTTTTGGTTTGTATCATGTATAGTTTTTCTGTATATCCATACAAATTGACATTTTGCCATGTATGTCTGCACACTCATCATCAAAGAGAATTCAACATTTTTTTTTCTTTGTCTTCTTGAGACAAGATCTCAATGTGCAGTTTAGGCTGACCTTGAGCTCATTTTGTAGCCCAGGCTGGTCTCAAACTTGGAACAGTCCTCTTGCCTCAGCCTCCTGAGTGCTGGGATTACAGGCGTGCAAATTTACCATTTTGGATATTGTGGAATTCAAGTTTTTACATCAGTGCTGCAGTCTCAGAACCAAAATGTATCACTTGCCATGCATCACAGGAGAATTATCCACAAATGTTTAGGAATAGGCCTTGTTCTTGGTCCTCGAATGCCAGACATGATAAAAGTCATTCATTGGTCTGTCGTAAGGCTTCTATTTCAACTGGGCTTCATGTGCTCCAAGATACATTTCAGATTACATGAGCAGTTAGACTAGGATCGTTTAGTATTTCCCACCATCATTTAATATTTACCCTGACACATGTAAGAACTGTGACTGGTGTCCTGAAAAAATGACTCTATATGATAAAGATGCTTATTTTTTCGAAATTAATGTCTAAGTAACCTTAAGCCCATCAGATGTTGATCTAGTTTTTGTCATTGGAGAGTGCTGTAACTCGGGTCTCCTGGTGGATTCGTATGTCCTATCCTAGCTTTCTTTGTTGTTCCAAATAGGCTTGATTTTCCTGCTTTCTTTCTATAAATGGGTCCTTTCCAGAAAATCAACAGCGAAGCCCTTTCTTGTCTTCTGAGCTCTAACACATTTTGCACAAACTGCTGAGGAAACATGTCATACATATAAACTGCGGTCCACATAGGCAGGAGCAGTCTCTTTTTGTGTCCTGGCGAAAGAATTTCGTGTTACCTCACTTTAAACAACAATAACAACAACAACGAAAAGTTTCAAGATCTCAGTTCTTGTAGCACCTGTACTTACTGAAAAATGAAAGAGCCAGTTACGAGGAACATTTTAAGATTCAAACTTGTTTCTTTTGAAGGCTCGCTGGTTCCTAAAGTGTGCTCCAGAAAAGGGTGCAAATGTTCCCACAGTATTTGGGACATGTGCTCTGAGGGCTCTGAGAGATAACTTGGACCCTTTGCTTGTCCTGCAGTGGGAAGTGGACAGGCATGGCTACATGCTCTCAGAAATATTTGTCTGCTGGACTGGCACCTTCAGCATGTATATCATCTGTTAGAGTGAATCCAGTCCTGCTTGATAGATACCCTCATACTTCTGGTCTCTAGAACCCCAGGCCAAACACCTGTTGCTCTTTGTTCTCTGTACCGTTAGGAAAGTGTCCAGACTAAATGTAAGTAGAAAGGGTACTTGTACACTATTATCCCATAGTTCAAATCCTGTGGATGATTTGCCATTAGCCGTTTCTTTCCTCAAAGGGATATGAAATCATACAGTAATCATTTCATATAATGCCATACTAGTTATTCCTTACCTGAAACCCAGTCTTCTGGCATTCCTGGGATCTTAGCCAGAAAACCTTTTGTTAGCACAGAAGCAGGCAAAGCATCCAGTGCCGGAGACCCTAACCCCGTGCACAGCAGGGAGTGGCTGGAGAGGACCCCGATGGATACAGGAGAAATGACAGGAGAACAGCGTTGGGAGTGGGGCCCTGCGGCAGTAATGAGGCTGAAACACAGGCACTGCGTCTCCAGAGGCGGGCAGTAGAGGAAGGAGCCACTGGTGAAACATGCCGGATGAGGGAGGCAGGGGGTTGCGGGAAAGATGGACACTGGTGCAGCGCGGGTGGGCCTGGGGCAGCGGAGAAGGCAGCAGGTGGGAAGCAGCGGCAGCAAGTCTGGGCCTCACTGCGAGACTCCTCAGATGACGCTAGTCACACAGCACAGACGACAGCGGTCCCCTGCGGTTACAGTGGAGCTGAAGAATCCTTTCAGGGAAGTGACCATGGAGCCTGTGTAAGTGAGCCTGTTCAGGTGTAGTTAGCTAGGCCTGTCCTTAGCACTGTGCCACAGTCGCTACAGCGTTAGCACGGTGCGCAGTGTACGACTGGGAGCCTGTGAGCGATAGGCTGTATCCCACGGCCTGCGTGCACAGCAGGGTTTATGTTCGTTCACTGCAAGATCTTCGCACAACGACACAGTCACGTGACGCTGCATTGCTGAAAGCATATCCCCATAATTAAGTGACGCATAGTGTGTGTGAAGATGGAGTGGGAAATGCATCAGCCTCTTGGACCTTTGCGTGAGCCGTGGAGGTGTGAGTACATAATTGCTGAACGAGTGTGTGCACGCACACAGCATTTCTACTGTGTGTGTAACAGATGAGTGGATGTGAATGTGCGCTCCCTGTGCAACGCTGAAGCCTCTGCCCCACATCTGTACTCGGGCGTTTTCACCTGTGACAGCCAGGAAGTGATGAGGTGGAGCTGGAGGTTGGGTTAGAGTCTGCGACAGGTGCAGCAGGGAACTGAAAGTCACGCTCACGCTGGGATCGCCTGGTGAAAGGCTGACTGTGATGAGACCCGGTTGAGAATCATGGCTGAGCCGGGCTCAAGCTCCAGAAGGGCCATCTGCGGTCCACATAGGCAGGAGCAGAGAAAAGGCAAAATCAGAGGCTGGGAATCATGCCCAGCGGGCTTGCAGAGACTTGGCAGTCCTGCGGTCCCCAGGAGCACCTCTGTCCTCTGTGCAGGACATCTGACACTGCCAGCAAGCAGATGGGACCGCGGGGGGGAGGGCGCGGGGCTGGCACTCGTCCCGGATGGAGCTCTCCGTATCTGCAGCGCATCGCAGCTCATGGTGGTAGTGACCTCTTCCCAGAAGGATATTTGGAGAATGTTTCAGTTGCTACTTAAAATGTTTAACTTGAAAATGTTTTAAAGCTCTCTGGACAACTCAGCAAATTGGCTCATATCCTAAATATTCCGAATAGGCTAAACAGGCATTGTAGTTCACGTTTAAAAAGTTATTTTCTACTTTCCCAAGTGTACCGGGAAATGTGATCCTTTGTGACTTTTCACTGCATTTATCTTAGATAAGGTTTGTTTTTAAGTCTGTGTCCACGTGACATGTAAAAAATTTGAAACAGATTAAACGGACTACATCCAACTGAGGGGAGGGCAGTGAGCAGGCGTCGTGAGTTCCAGCTGTCGCTTTGAAGTCATAGTACAGGGTCATCGTGTTGCTGTTTCCACACACGGTGGACTGGCCTCAAATAAATGAGCCATGAAAAAATACCCGTGGAGAGGAGCAGACCGTCTTTTCTTCAGTGTTTTTCCAGGACTGCTCCCCACAACGAAGTCTGCTTTGTAGTTCCTGTGTAAGCCCCCATTGAAGAAGTTTTATTTATTTTTCATGTTGGGGATGAACCCAGGACTTCCTACCTGCTAAGCAAGTGCTGTACTGCTCGGCCATAAGCACCCTCTGCAGGCAGTTTAGTGTTTACTTTTAGAAAGAAAATGAACTCGGGTTTTCTGCTGTTGATGCTTTCCTCAAACAGTGTGTCTGAAACCCGCCAGGCACACTCTCATTCTCTTAAGAGATTTTGCTTCTCCGGCCGGAGTTCTGAGTATGACTGTAGATACGTTTGTGTCTCCCACCTTTCTTCCTTTGTCAGGAATCAGAGTGAGGTTCTGGGCTGTCTCAAATTACTGCTGAGAAAGAACAGAGAGGAAAGACACTTAAGAAATCAATTAAAAGATAACTTGGAAATCTAAGCTGGTTAAGGGTGAAATCAATGAACTCACAAAATCATTCTTGAGTTCTGAAATAAGTGATACATCCAGTTTATATGTATGACATCCATAACTTTGGGAAATATTTTTGTGTAAGATCAGTAGCAATCAGAAAGGAAATTTATTTAATATTTTCTGACTGCATCTTGAGAGCACCCATGTTCTGGCATGCGGTGCAGGCAGAAAGCAGGGTGCTGGTTATACCGTTTATATTTCACATTAGGAGTGTTTAAATTTGGGGGTTGCCGGGTGAAGTGATGTATGATCCTCATTCCTGACAAAAATGCAGCGCCTTGGTTGGAAGCTGAAGGGATGAGCTCATCCCATTGCGTCTCCAGGCAGCTGCGCTAGTGAGAGCCGTCTGCTGCACCCGAGCGCTGGTCCATTTTCACATCTCATTCATAATTGAAGTGAGCAAAGGGGATTTTTTGCCCATTCTAGGAGAGGTTTCATCAGCCCTGTAATGGCACCACAGCTCTCTTAGTATTACAGCTTAACAACGGAAACTGTGTATCATAACAAGCTCTGTTACCCTGTGAAGTGCACATTATAAGCAGGAGAAAAGAGAAGCAATAACTCCCAGGCCAGAAAAGCAGATGTGGGATGCAGTGCCGCCTTCTACCCCGAGCCAGGGTCCCGAATGTTTCTGCGCTCACCTGACAGACAGGGTTGTATGTCTCCCGGGGGAAAGGCAGTGGTTTTAACAAAGGCAAAGCTCTTGGAAAGATACCGTCTCCTTTGGCTGCATCATGTGTTGATGAAGGGCCCTGGGTTTTTAAGATATCACGGTCATGGAAGCTGACATTATCCCGTTTCCATTCGGACAGGAGGTTCCAGGAAGGAGATCACAGAGCACTGGGAATGGCTGGAGCAGAATCTGCTGCAGACACTGTCCATCTTTGAAAATGAGAACGATATCACCACGTTCGTGAGAGGAAAGATACAGGTAGCGGTGTTTTATCTTTTTTTTTTTTTTTTAAAGAAAGAACAAAGACCATTTTTAATTGAAAATAACTTCAAGTTTACAGAAATGGTGCAAAAATAAGGACCAGGTAAAACACACCCATTTACCCTTTACCTAAACTTACCTTTTGTCAGCATTTTTACCCCATTTTCTTTATCATTCGTGTGTCCACTTCTCTATTTGAGAGTATTTTCCTAATTATTTCAGTGTCTATCTTCTAAGAGTAGAGGTTCTCTATGAAATACTATCATTATCAATTGCATCATTTAATATATATAAATTTAACATTATTACACTTTAATAGTTGACACAGAGTCTTACTGTAATTGGCTGAATTATGACTTTTATAGTTTTTTAAACAATTTTTCATTCCAGTGCAGGATTCAGTTCAGGAACCTGTTGCATTTGGTTTTCATGTCTTTAGTCTCTTTGAGTCTTGAAGATTTCCATGCCTTCCTTCTCTTTTATGACATGAGTGTCATTGAAGTATGCAGTTCTGTTATTTTTTAAAGCAACAGTTTTCATTGGGTATTTGTCAGATGTTTTCCCTCCGATTCAATTCGGAGTAAGCATTCCCAGGTGGAGAGCACAGGAGTGACCTTACATCCTTCTCAAGGGATCGTTTCTGGAGGCTCCTGGCACTCGGTCTGCCCCCTCTGTGGTGTTATAAGCTCAGTCAAGGTGCTGTCCCGTTTCTTCACTGTGGAGTGACCCATTCTGTCTTTTCAAGTAATAAATAATTTTCTGTAGGAAAACATGTTAACGCTATCCATATATGTAGCCCATTCCTTGTCAAACTTTCTCTTTTGATTTAGCATGCAGTTAATGACTTTTTAATCAGCCGATCTTTGCCGTGATGCTTTGCGGCATGATGCCTGTAGGAAGGGATGGTTTTCCAGTTCCAGCAGCCTCTCTCGTTTTCAGGTTGGCAACTGCGGTTCTGTGAGCGAGAGCCTTCCCTCATTTACTTACTATTGATGGGGACTCCTCAGTATCTGTTGTTTGTATTACTGGACTTAATTACTTTGGTACTCCTGCTTGACATAGCTTCAGGGCCCCTTGTCAGTTCTTTTGCTGTTCCTGGGGTGCATTCCATTTTTGTTGAGTACTTGTTTATGTCTTCCAGGCTCAGTTTGTACTGTCCCTGTCCTGTTTACTTTTGTGTACTTTCAGTTTTAGATTCCTTTTGTTTCCCAGCATTATTCGCTTTATTATCTTTTTTGAATGTAGAAAATAACAACATGCTTCCAGAAGTCAAAAAGTATTATTCCCTTTTGCATCCTGCCATCCTTTTCTCTACGAAGTCCCCCAAAGTGGATCAACTTCATTGCTTTCCAGTTTACTCTTCCTGCTTCTTTTTGTAAAAATGAGCAGATGTATGTTTCCCATTTGCTGTTAATTCTTACTTGTAGACTCCACATATGTATGCTGCTTTGCATTTTTTTTTTCACTTAAAATCTACCAGTCACATACCATATCAGTTCACAGAATGGTTCCACATATTTTACCATTTTAATAGTTCCGTTCCTTAAATTTTAAAACGCTTTTTAGATTCACAGGCATACAAAAATAGTAGAGAATTTCCATATATTCTATGCTGAGCTTCTCTTAAAGTTAACATCGTACATAACTATGGTACCTTTGTCAAAACTAAGAAATTAACATTGATGCAGTACTATTAGTGAACCTACAGACTTTATTTGAATTTTATCTGTTTCTAATCCCATGTCTTTTTCCCATTCCACAATACAGGATCCCACATTTCTTTTGTTTTTCTTATTCTTTTTTTACATCTGTGTATCAGTGAGTACATACAGTGACTAATTCAGAGACTCATCTGTGCTTGGATATTTAGGTAGTTTCTAATATTTTGCAACCAAAAAAACTTCTACACATATATTTTTTTCATGTGTACTGTCTTAGTCAACTTTCCCATGGCTGGGACAAAAATACCTGACGTAATACAATTTAAAGGAGGAAAGACATATTTGGCCCACAGTTTTAAAGGGTTTATAGTCCATGGTTAGCTGACTCCAAGACAGAAATCAAATGACGTAAAGACCTGGTTGAGGAAATATGCTCAACACATGGCAGCCAGCAAGCAGAGAGAGACAGAGAAAGGAGGAAGTGGGGACAAGAACACACTCTTCCATGTCACACCCCCAGTGATCCACATTGCCCAGCCATTAGTCAGTGAATGAATCCACTGATGACTACAGTGCACCCATGATAGAATCACCTGCAGAAAGCTTCACCTATGAACACATGAGACCTTTGGCACTACCTTTAAATCTGTCCAAAACATACATGTATTTTTAATATTATTGAGGAAATATTGTGTAAGTTGTATTGGTAAGTTCCAGATCAGAAGATAAATGTATATATTGTTTTGGTGAATATTTCCAAATTCCCCTCTATAGGAGTTGTACCAGTTTACATTCCCACTGGCAAGTATGGGAATGCATCTTTCCCTACAGCCTTACCAACAATGTGAATTATCAGGCTTTTGAGCTTTTGCCAATCCGATGGGAGAGAAATACCTTTTCCATAGTGTTCCAGTTTGTATTTGTGTCATTTATGAGAAGCTGAATATCTTCTCATAAGTTTAAGGGCTATTTTTTTTTATATTTCCATTGGTAAACTGCTCATGTTGTTTATATATTTTGTAGGACTTTTGATCAATTTTTCTTCTTTATATAGAAGGGACATTTGCCTTTTATTGCTGGTATATGTCATAGGTATTTTCCTTCAGTTTGTCATGTATCTTCTGACTTTACACAGGACAGTTTTTGTCTCACACATTTCAAAATTTTTACTTAGCCAATATTAAAAAAAGCTTCTTATGATAGAGTCTGGGATTTTAAACATATTTTAAAAATCTGTCTTTTTACCCAGGGTAAGGAGGAGTTGTAGGAAGTATTCTGACAAAGTGGTTCTCCTTAAAATTCCACAGAGAGTCAGTTTTGTTTTATTTTTGTACTTTGCTAAACTTTTACACAAACTTGTAATTTTAGAATCAGAAAAGGAGACGAATGGAATCTCTACTTTCTGGGGTCTGACTTTTTGAAGGGAGAGAGCTGAATTTGAATGACCATTCAAATGAGGGCCACAGGAGTACAAAAACTCACGTAACACCAGCCTCTTCCTCCGTTTCTGCCCTCCCTACCCTCATAAACAAAGGAGTGTTTATGCATTGTGTCAAGATTTATGATGCAGTTTTCTCCTCCATCCTTACCAGAGAGATTAGATTTAAAAGGTAAAAATTGGCTGACAGAGACATTGGAAAGTATCACTGAATGAGAGGCAACTTCCAGATTTAAAAAAGAATAAAAAATAATTGAGAGCTGTCTTGTTGATGAAACCTAGTTTTATAGCACCTGCTTTTTACGTCTAAGTGACGTATTTGAATTTCTGTAAACCATGTCAGTGGGGAGGGTCGGAAGTGTCCTAATTGGCCCATGTAGGAGAGCTTGGATGAAAGCAGTCCGCCAGCAAGTATGGGGCAGACGTGGAGATACTTAGCAGCATCTGCATCCCGGGGCCCTGTGGTAGGAACCCTCTTAGACCTCTCAAATATTTTCCTGTTTGGGAAACTGGCACAGAGAAAGAGTTGTAGAAAGAAACCAAAGCTTGAAAGTGACAACAGTTAGGAAAACAAGTGAGTGAATAAATAAATCAAGGGTGAATTATGCCAAATAGCCTTTCTTCTCACCATTTGCTTGCTAAAAAATGTCAGATTTAATTGCTCTGAAACTAATTATGAGGAGGAATTGCTATTAATGCAATTATGTGCGAAAGAATGTCATTCAAGTGCAAATGAATGGTTTATGCTTTCACAGATTGTCCAATAATTGAGAGTCAACAGGCTTATTTTGAGATTTAAATTAACTTTTATAAATTATAAAAGTAATAGGTCAGTACTGAAGCAGCCATGATCCAAATGTTTTATGTAGCATTTGTATATTTCTTCTTAGACTTATACTACGCCTACAATTTGTAATAGTAGTCTCAATGTACACATAATTTACTATACTCTTTTTTACTTGACTACTATTAACTGTATTGCTATGTAAAATATTTGGTATGTTAATAAATGGATGTAAGTCCATAGTTGACTCTATTATTTTTCTTTCTAGAAGTCACTTTAGCATCTTAGACTAGTCGGGACAGGCAGGCACAAACAAAAGTAGAGTTAACATTTTGGTTCGTATACTTTTTCCACAAGTTGTGGAAGTTTTTTGATTTTGTTTTATTTTGAAATAGATAACAAAATATATATTAATGTGTTATGTAGTTAAAACATTCTAATGAGGGCAAAACATTTTAATGGACCTTAGTAAGATCCATTATATTATATACTGTTATATTAGAATCCCTATATGGTTACACATTTCTTATTTTCAGGATTGTGTTTATTTAAGTAGTTTAAAAGAGCCAGGCATGGTGGTGCCTGCCTGTAATCTTAGTATTCTAGGAGGCTGAGGCAGGAGGATCACACGTTTGAATCTGGGCAATTCAGCAGCATGGTGAGATCCTGTCTCAAAATGAAAAAATTTAAAAAGGGACAGGGAATATAGCTCAATGCGAAGATTCTGGCTTCAGTACTCAGAACTGAAAAAAAAATGGTTTAAAAGTTTAATATTTTAATTTTCTGTCTCTGATTGTGAGGTTGAATGTTCTTTCATGTTTGCCAAGTTAACTTTTCTCATTTTTTATCTATCAATACCACTTTGTATATTGAAGTTAATACTGAACCTCCCACATATTTGGACTGTGTTAATTTTCTAAAGTCATTAGGAACTGCTGCCTAGAATTAGTGTGCCCAACTTCTGTTGTGCAGAACCCATAGAACTTAGGGGAAGAGCTATTCCATCCCTTTGTTCAGCCACCCAGTCCTGGCTGAGAAATTACAAAGGTTTGGCATTCTGATCCTGTCTTTTCCTAAAGGTGGAGAAGTTGAAAGCAGGGGTACTGATTAACCCATGTTGAACTTAGTGGGCAAGGCCTGGTCTGTTAGTGTATTAGACCCTGGAATATCTCCCAGTGACATTTCTCAGTTCCATACTCCCATAAATCTCTCAGACTAAGAAACATTTTCTTTTGAAAATTTAAATGCATGTTCTATTTTTTTTTAAATGCATGTTCTAAAATGTGGTCTTCAGCACATCTTTAGATAGCGCAGTCTGAAATGAATGTTTTTCCACTAAAAACCGTAGGGGCATCCTTTGGTCAGCTATCCATCACTCTCGTCTGATTCCTCCTATTGTGGCTGCGGGATGCGCCCCACTGCAGGGGTCCTGGAGAAGCTTAGGCCACGGGGCTCCCCAGGCTCTCTCTGAGGTCCTGGCCATGATGTTGCCTGCAGCCCTCACTGCTGCTGGCTCTTAGTGGCTCTCTTTGTGTTCGTCCATGTACGCATTTATTTCTTCTTTCCTTCTTACACATACATTTTTATTCTCCTCTAAAGGCATTGGCAGCTATGAAATGTTCTTGGTGTATTTGGCATCTGGAGAAAGATTTTTCATGTCTTTTCCTTTCCAAACTGACTTCTCTTCTTCTCTGCCCAGAGACGTGTTTCCCTCTGGTTGTTGGAAGCCCCTAATACGCATAGCACTCTCCCAAAGCCTGCTTGTCTTTGAAATAGCCTGGGCCAAAATTGGTTTCCTCTCGCCTTTATCAAGCTTCATATCTCTGTTCTATCAGTGGAGTAGTATCAGAAGAGATTAGAGGAAAAGAACTTCATTAGAAATATTCTCCCATTACTACTTCCAGTGTCAGTCAGACTGTGTCATCCTGCGTGATGACAGATGGGAACCAGGGACTTGGTTCATGACTACCTAAGCCTTGTCAGCTCTGAGACAATTACAGATTTAAAATATGCCATTCTCAATTATACAATAAAGGCCAAGGTATGGCCCCGTCAGACACATTCTAATTTGGGAAGGCAACAAATTATTTTAATATTTTATTGGATATTCTTTAGGTGCTGGATACTAGGGATGAAAAATGTTGAAGGCACTCATTATTTTGGGCACTCATATTTAATGGCAGACAAAATTTTGCCAGCATAGAAGTAGGAGACAGTCTAGGTAAAGTCGGCTTAGTTTCTCAGGGAACATCATCTTTACGCCATGCCTGGCAAATTTGGTGTGAGAATCGTTGTGCCTTCTTTTTGCTTTCATTGATGGTCCGTGGAAGTTTTCAAGGTGGGAAGCTCAGATCTGTGTTCCAAAAGAGGCCATCGAGAATCAGCGTATGTGAAGGAGTCCTGACAGAAGAGCAGGAAACCATCGCAGTAATTCCATCGTAATAATACGTCTGCTCTGTGTGGACCATGTGCCTGGGCTGCGCTTCCTAGTAGAAGGGGTTGAAGACTTGTCATGGGATTGTGTTTGCATTCGTAAGGCTACTGTGCCATTGTAATAGTTCCGATTCTCATTTTTTATTGAGCATTTAGCAACGGGAGGGGCCGAGGAAGACTGAAACCTTCCCTCTTGCCATCACACCTCATTACACGACTGCGGGCAACAAAGGGGAGAGGTCTGGGAGTGCAAACAGAATTCAGGGGGCTGGGGATTTAGCTCAGCGGCACAGCGCCTGCCTGGTATGCGCAAGGTCGTGAGTTCGATTCCCAGTACCAGAAAAAAAAAAAAAAACAGAATTCAGGAAATAATTGCAGTACATAATGCTGAATGGGAGCTTGTGAGTTCAATTTCCGTTATGAGAGAGAGAGAAGGGTGGAGGTGGAGGGAGAGAGAGGGACGTACAGAGGGAAGGAGGGGGAGGAGAAAAAAGAAATTGCATACCATTGTTTTTATTCTTTATTTTTCTTTTCTTTAAAATAAAAAATGCTGAAAGAGTTAATAATACGTAATGTGGGGAAAAGAATCATGGCCAAGAGGAGATTTACAGAGAGGCTGGGATTAATTAAGTGAGACTTTGGGACTTACTGTCTTACTCTAGATTTTAGACACACCCAATGGCAGGATCACAGGCAAGAGGACAGGAAAGCATAGGGTTGATGCGTTTAGACCCAGGGCTGGCAGCGCAGAGTTACCCATGGGAAACTTTAGTAGGATGTAATATAGTGAGGAAAATACTACAGGGTTGGTTGGATGCAAAACATACATGGTCTGGAATTCTAGACTAGCGGTAGTCAAGCGTAGTTTTAAGAAGATAAATTTGTAGGAAACAGTAATGTAGTAGAAGTGTAATAGCCCCAAAGCCGGAATTCTAGGCATGATAAAACAGATACAACTTTCTGTCTTCGGGAAAGAGGGGAGCATGGTCAGCTGAGGGGTTTGCCCAGGTCCACACAGACACAAGTGACACCACTGAGACCTGAGCCCACAGCTGTCATGTTGTAAGGGACACGCTTTTCAGGCCTACCTAGAGACCAGAGAAAACAAAGATAAGCTGGGGGATTTGGTGATTACACAAAGGTGGAGTTCAAGGGAGCTTTCTTTTTTTAATCAAGAGCTACAGAAGCCAGTTTTCGGGGAGTTGTGGAGAAATTGAGTAACAGAAATGGCTTCTTAAGCTACTGTGATGATTAAAAAGTGGACTAAACCAGTCACTTGCTATGCAAATATTTCATTTCCTGTCCAGATGTCCACAAAATCCCAATCTAATACAATTTTCACTCTCATTTTCACTGTTCTTCTGGTCAAATGATGACTTGTTCCTTTCTCTAGGCCCCCATGTTATAAATGGCCCTGAGCCAGTGAGTCTGGCCAAGGTATCAGCTGGTGACACGTGTTTGATTTTCCTTTCCTCTCTTGTTCTTTTACGATGATTTTGTTGTTGATTTTGATAAAGGCAGAAAGCGACCTTTGAGACAACCATATCATGATTAGCTTAACAAAAATGCAGGAGATAGCAAAATGCTTACATCTCCTCGTTTGTGAAATATAACTACAAGCGTCATTCCAGATGAGCTTAATAGAATAATTAGCACCAATAAAATCCATACTGTCCTTTGAAAATCAGGACACAAATGCTACTTGCTAATTTGAGGGTTGCCTCTGGACAGAATTCACCACTTTAAAAAAAAAATTCTGGCCTTAGAAATTGTTTCTTTCTTTCCAAGACATGCAACTTTCGTCATATTAACACCAGTTATGTCTCTGTGTTTGATCTTTGATTAGGGCATCATTGCAGAATATAATAAAATCAATGACGTGAAAGAAGATGATGACACAGAGAAGTTCAAAGAGGCCATCGTGAAATTCCACAGGCTGTTCGGGATGCCCGAGGAAGAGAAGCTTGTCAACTACTACTCTTGCAGCTACTGGAAGGGGAAGGTCCCCCGGCAGGGTTGGGTGTACCTCAGTATTAACCACCTGTGCTTTTATTCCTTCCTTATGGGAAGGGAAGGTAAGTGGTGTAGAATTGCAGAGGGATGCTTTGGAAAGTCTGCTCAGGCCTTCCCTGAACTCAAAAACCAAATCACAGTGTCCAAAGTCAATCTGTAAATTTAACTGAGGGCAGTGGGTTGTTTTTGGCTTACCGCTTAACAAGCAAATTCAAGCATTGTCCACTCAATAGTGGGAAGAAGTAGGTCATTAAATAATAAAGACTCACTAAAGGTATAATTAACTTAGTGGACGTGGACTTAAGTCTGTCATACTTGTGCTCTAGAATTTATAGGTTTCAAATATGGCTCCTAAAGTTGAGAAGGCAGTGAAGATGGGCCTGCAGACTGCAGGGCATCTTAAGGTGTGGAGTCCCTCCCCCCTGGCGTTGACCTGGCCTTGTTCTCTCTGTTAGCTAAGCTGGTAATCCGGTGGGTGGACATCACCCAGCTTGAGAAGAACGCCACACTGCTCCTGCCTGATGTGATCAAAGTGAGCACTCGATCCAGCGAGCATTTCTTCTCCGTGTTCCTCAACATCAACGAGACCTTCAAATTAATGGAGCAGCTTGCCAATATAGCCATGAGGCAGCTCTTAGACAACGAGGGCTTTGAACAAGATCGATCCCTGCCCAAACTGAAAAAGAAATCTCCTAAAAAGGTGTCTGCTCTAAAACGGTATGTGATGGGGAATTTAAGTCTGACAGATCTTAGAAAACAAAACCCCATTGGTTCATCCGCTCATTCCTACGTTTATTTTAATCTTTTCTGGACTGGACAACTTCACAGTTTTTGAACACTGTTCTGGACATGGATATAGCAGGAAAAAGACTGCCCAAGGCACCCACCCCCCAATTCAGTAAGAGACAGCCAGAGCACTGCTACACACTGTGCCGGGAACTCGGCTGGTCCCAGGGACAGTGGCGTGTGCACACACTTGGGGAGAGCATGGCCCAGTGGAGCTGCTCTGAATGGGGTCTGCAGAAGGTAGTAGAAGTTACCCTCCCGCACAGTAGGAAGCATATGATAGGCAGAGGGGGCACATGGAGTAGGAAGCACAAGCAAAAAGCACAGAGAAAGTGAGTCCATTCCATGGCTGAAAGGTGGCAGGATGTGAGACGGGGAGAGGTTGCAGAGAAGCCTCCGAGATGTGGGAGGAGAGCCCAGAGCCTGGGAGGGAGCCGTTGATGCTCTCCATAAAGAGTGACTGCACGGAACTGCAATGGGGACGGAAGGAAGAGGGTGTGCAGGGGGTGCGATAGCTCGGCTTCGATTGGGTCGAGTTGCCTGCAGGACATCTCGTTAGAGATGAGTCCGGTAAGAAATGTAAAATTAGAAATCATGGGTGTGCAGGTGGTAATTGGAGTCTGGAAAGAACTTGTAATTAAAGTGTCTTTGGTAATTTGAGACATGTTTTGACACCATGGTAAAGGATAGATCCAGTTAGCTGCAGTGAGTTAAGTAGCAGTGAAAGGCAAGTATTGACTGCCTTTTCCCGAAATTCAATGGAATTCCTTTGGGAGGGGTGGTCGCTTATTTGTAGAATGGCAGACTGCACACAGGACTCAGTGAAGGACGCAGGTGGGAAGTTTATTGGTGAGGGTGGGTATGGGGACGGGAGAGAGTAAAATTTTAAAGTGACCTTTTGTGGAGAAGCATGCTGAGGAGTGCTGATGTGTCTTCCTTTGAAGTGGAGAGGAAGTTGAGTTCCTAGGAGGACCACAGAGGTGATTTCAGGAGAAGGGAGGGAGTTGGAGGGAGTTGGAGGGAGCACGTGCATTCATTCAGCTTTGCTCTGTAGAGCCAGGAACTAGACCCCTGAGGGGCTGCAGCAGAGTGGGCTTGTGGGGAGACGTTTGCACGAGATAAAGAACATGTGAGGGGAGAGCTTATGGACAGCAGAAGGCCCCGTCGGGATGGGAAACCATAGCTGTCCAGGAAGTGGGTTGTTCGTGCAGCTCTGCTGTCCGTTTAGGGCAGGCGGTGGCACCAGCAGACTCGCGTGGCTATTTGCATCTCACTAGGTCTGGCTTTAAAAGATAAGGTTGAAAAAGCACTAGAGAAGAGTAAATGTAATAGCTTCTTTATAAATGACGGCCTCCTTTCAAAGAATATTTTCTCTTAGTGCCTATTAACCTGGCAAAATACTGGGTTTCTTTGTGCCAATTTCATACATGCGTATAACATTCTTATCATATCCATTTCCCTTATTGCCCTGCTTTACACCCTCCACTTCCTTTCCTTTTGTCTAATAATAGTCTCTCTGAAATGATTGCATTCTTTAGAAAGAATGAATTTCCTATTCAGACTTAGTTTTTCCCAGGTGCTCTAACATTTATAGATATTGTCAATTGGCAATACAAGGGAAGAGACCTACACATATGGAAAGAATTCTATGATGCTTTGACAGCCTTAGGTTGGAGTAGCTAAAAGGGTACAGGAGGTGAGTGGTGGGCTGGGGGACCCTCCGTCCCTGCAGCACGTAGAAGGGTTGGAAGCCTCTTTCTTTCGTGAGATGAATTCTAATGTTTGTTTTCCAGTGATCTTGACGCCAGGGCCAAGAGTGAGAGGTACCGTGCCCTTTTCCGGCTGCCGAAAGATGAAAAATTAGATGGCCACACAGACTGTACTCTCTGGACTCCATTCAACAAAATGCACATTTTGGGGCAGATGTTTGTCTCCACAAATTATATCTGCTTTACTAGCAAGGAGGAAAACTTATGTAGCCTCATCATCCCACTCCGTGAGGTAAGTATCTGTCAAAACGGCTGTTGTAGGTGTTTCGTGTGTAATCCTTTCGTGTGCGAACTGCAAATTTTATTTTTTGTATTTATTTATATTTTGCCACCGTTGGCAAATGTTCATAACTTGTTGATGGCATCTGTCACCCTTCATTTGCTGTCATAGCTGTGACTGTAACACCTATGAGATCTTTTCTTCCAGAAACAGCCTGTGTTTGTTGAATGTAGGTTTTATTATTGTTCAGGGGTGGGGTGGTTTATAGCTGCTCAGATAACTGCTATTGAAAAGGTAGCTAATAGCCAGCGCTGGTGGTGGACATCTGTAATCCCAGCACTCTGGGAGCCTGAGGCAAGAAGATTGCCAAGTTCAATCAGAGCTTTGGAAACTTGGTGATTTAGCAAGACTCTGTCTTGAAATAAAAAATAAAAGCAGCTGGGTGTGTAGCTCAGGGATCAATCGAAAGCCCTGGGATCAATCCCTGGGGTAGAGGGGGCTGTTGTTATCAGAGATCTAATAGGAGAGGCCAGGCCCCACGGGAACACCAGGGCAGTCGGGAGGCAGATCCCTGCGATGATTTCCGAGGGATGAAATGCGCTGGACAGGGCAAACAGGCATGGACTGGCTAGCTGGCAGTTTGTGGGGCGAGGTGGCTGCCCTGGGTGTCTGGTCCTTGTCACTGGGGTGGTGTGGGGGGCAGAGGAGTAACGTCCCTGGGTGAGAGTGGTTGGGGTGTGTGTGGTATAGCTCACTCCCTTATAAAAAATAGTGCGTGGGAGTGCCAACCCCTGCCTGAGGGAGATGTTTCCAGAGTCAAGAAAGCCTCAAGATGTTTTAGAATAAAATAAAGAGACCTGAAAGTATCGCTGTGAGGCCCGGCTGCCAGCCCGAGCGCCCGCATTGCTGGAGCCGCAGCTCGCCATGTTAGCATCACTGGGCTGCGTGCTGGTCGCAGCGGCAGACTCCTGAGCCTGGTCCAGATCTTCTGGATCCAAATCACTGCAGGTTTGGGAGTCTCTACTTTAATCCAGTCCCCGCCTGATTCCTCCTACCCAGCAAAGTCTAAGAAAGGATTATCGAGGGGAAGGCTCTGGAGTCACCTGCAGCAAGGCTGTGAAGTCCGGGGGCGACAAGGACTTGGGGTGGGGGGGCGGGGCGGGGCCTGATAGCGCAGTGATCTAAGCTGGCAGTGCCCAGTTACCTGGTTCTTTCCTGGAAGTCAGAAGCTTTGGGCATTTAATCTGAATTAGATGTTAAGAATATTAAAGGGTTCAAGTTTCTCTCTGCCTTCTTTCTTCTTTAAAAATTTAGTTAAGCCAATGTCACACTTTTTTTCTTCTTAAAGAATAATGCATCATTATCGCAGAACAGTGGTGAAAGTACGGGCAGAAAAAGAAGTCACCCCTAGGCCCTCTATTCAGACACAACCACTCCTACTGTGTGATACAGCTTTCTAGGTATTTTCCGTGCTTTGCTACATGCACGTCATTTGTATAATTTAAATACACAACATAGGGGATTTTTAAAACTTATTTCCTTTAAGAGAGTATATATTTTAAACTGTCTCCAGAATCATTAGTCTTCTAAAACATAATTTTTAACGACTACATATTACTCTACTTAAGTGTATAGACATTTATTCATTTACCTATGGTTGGACCTTGTCATTGTTTCTACCTTTTCCCAAGTCATATGTGTAATTTCATTAAGTTATATGTTACGAATTCCCAGAAGCTGATTTGGTAGATGAAAAATAGTGGTGTGCACTATAATCCCAGCACTCAGGAGGCTGAGGCAGGAGGGTTGCCGTGAGTTTGTCCCCGGGTGGACCAGCTGTGAACCTGAGCACATCAGCTCTGTGTCCCCTGAGGAGGCATGAGAGCCTGGGAGCCCCTGTCCAGACCCCACCTCCTGGTCCTCCCCCAGGTCCTGGATTCGGCTAGCTGCTTACACTTTAGTACAATCTAGGACACAGTAATTTGTGACCGCTCTGCACCCTCCCAGTTATGGGGATAATAGTGATAGATGTTCTCAAACTGTCTTCTGCTTGCTGGTTTTCCGTAGCAGGGCAGAGGTCATTCGGCCGGAACGCTGGGTAAATCAGAGGAGAGACCATCTGGGGGTGACATTGAGGAACAAAGCAGGCTGTGGTTTCAGGGTGCAGCCGCAGTTCCTTCCCTCTGACCTGATGAATCACTCAGCTGTGTTGACAGTGGGTTCCTAACCCCAGCTAATGGAAGAGGCAGAGACCTAATGTAACTTTTATTACCTTTAGTAACAATCAGTCAGGAAAGCAGTGGGCCCCCTCGAGTCTGTTCCCACCCTGAGCCCGATGCTTTCTGGAGCTGAGTTAAGCTGGTGGATCGACCGGAGCCTCCCCGGAACATCACACACACTCTATCTGGAAAGGTCACCTCTAGGACTTGTGTGCACTGGGAATTGTTTGATTTAATTTTTAATAAAATGAAATATTGACTGAAGGTGATTCATATGCAGTGCATGTATTGCCTCAAGGCGGAGCAAATCGGCAGACGTTAGACGTTCACACAGAATCGTTGTGCTGTGGATTTTGAAGAAATTACTGGCCGCTAAAGTGATCCAATGAGGTTCCTCATTAGATAGAGATTCCAGATCATTTCTTTTTCTCCCCCAACCGTAAATTGCCTCATAAAGCTTCAGTGTTAACCACCAATGCTTGATTAAATTCTGCTCTATTTTATAAACCACGTTGGAAATGAAATATGCCTTATTGCACTGTAGAAAACTCACGTAGCTCTCTTCTGTCCTGATGGCACAAAGCATAGGTGACAGAATTTTACTAGAACTCACTTGTCAGTGAAAAAATATTTTATAGACTGTGTGAGCATATGCAAGCTTCCTTGGTTCTGTATTCACGATTGAGCTAGGTAAAGGGTTCTTTCCACCTGACTTTGTCAAGAGCCACATGACAGTTTGTGCTTTAGACAAAATTTGAAATCGTAATTCCTTTGGCATCTGTGATTTGGCCCTAGACATTTAACTACCCAAAGAACCAGCAAAAGTTGGATATCAGAAAAAGAACTTTTATAGAACCTTTAAAAATAAGTATTCATGGGCCTGGGAGGTAGCTCAGTGGTGTAGCACTTGCCTGGCAAGCCCAAGGCCCTGGGTTCGATTCCAGGTACCAAAAAAATGAAAAAATGAAAAAATAAAACAAGCATTCACACAAGTGTCATGGCAAAATCCTTTTCATGAAACAGGTTATTTTTTCCATTTGTGTAACAATTTTGCATTAGAGAAAAAAAGAAAGCCTTTATGTGTGTACCCCAGGTATCTTGGGGATTACTTTAAAACATATATTTATAGTTGTACATAAATGATACCTAAATGTATTTATCACATAGATATCATATATATCATATAATGCATGGCACTTGAGGCCATGCAACTTTTTAGACGGCTTCAATATATTCCTTAGGCTTGAATGGGGAAGATTTTTTAAGATTCTGCTTTTGAGGAGATATATTTACATGAAAATGCTGGTATACAAATTAAAGTTGAACCTGTGTAGACCGCTTGCAGACAGAAATGAAGAGGGGAAAACAGACTTTGCATTAGATCTGTAGTTAAGAACCATTGCAACTAAAACAAGTATTTGGCTGGAGAAACAGCTCAGTGGCATAAGCGCCTGCCTGGAAAGTGCAGAGTCCTGAGTTCAATTCCCAGTACCCTCCCACCAAAAAAATCCACAAGTATTTGCCTGGAGATGTTTTTTTCTAATGTGCTTAAGAAAATAGTTTTAATGCATTTATCCTTGCTTCCAGTTGATGAAAATTCTATTACAAGCCACCAGTAGAGGTCTTCAGCTCCGAACTCAGTCTGATGTTTTTCTTTCTGTTCTTACACCATGATAGGCTTCATTGTGTGCACGCGCATGCACACAGACACGCACACACCACACATAGTCTGCTGGTGCAAATAGAGCTGCAAATGAGCTGCTTACGTCCTGTCTGTCTAGGAACGGGTGACTGAACACTTTGGGTGCATAGCCCTGGAGTCTGAGTGAGACCCTTGAAGGCCCAGTGGTGTTTTCAGCATTGTCCTTACATTAAGCTTGATGAAAAGATCATCTGTCGGGGCTGGGGATTTAGCTCAGCGGCAAAAGCGCCTGCCTGGCAAGCGCAAGGTCGTGAGTTCGGTTCCCGGTACCGGAGAAAAAACAAAAAACAAAACAAAACAAAGATCATCTGTCTTAGGAATGGTGCAGCAGCTAGGAGTCCTCTATGAAAAACGCAGGATGCACAACCACGATTTTTCAATCTCGGTAGTACTGATGTTTGCGGCCCCACTTAGAAGACGGCCGCACTTGCCCTGCACTGCAGGGTATTTGGTAGCGTCCTGGCCTCTGCCTACCTGTGACAACCAGAAATGCCTCGATGTTGTAAATGCCTTGGCGCTGGGGCTCGGCCGTCACTCCTAGTGTAAAACCACTGACTTAGACCAGGAAGATAAACTCCTGTTTCACTTGTCCTGACGTTTTGTTTTATTGGAAGAGTTGCAGGGTCTCAGTTTGCTTCTGTGAAACATGAGTGGTTCCCACAGAGCCATCACAATGCCTCGTTCCTCTTTCACTGCCACTCGTCAGCGGTTCTTGGGTCATTCTTGGAGAGTAACGCTCTTTGTTTCACGGTTCTTTCCAGGTGACCATTGTTGAGAAGGCCGACAGCTCCAGTGTGCTCCCGAGTCCTCTGTCCATCAGCACCAGGAACAGGATGACCTTCCTGTTCGCTAATCTGAGAGACAGAGACTTCCTAGTGCAGAGGATCTCAGATTTCCTGCAGCAGACGACATCCAAAATATACTCAGACAGAGAGTTTGCAGGAAGCTACAACAGTTCTGACGATGAGGTCCGTGGGAGCCCCTCCTCCAAGGTGTTGGGGTTTGTCCTCAGAGCATTCACTTGCGTATCTGTTTTGTTAGAACTCTGGGCTCTGAGGTCCAGCGCAGTATCTCAGCAAGATCTTTAAATCTCCAGGAGTTTGTGTTTGGGATCATGGAGCTGGAGGAATCTTTGCAATCATGTGGTCTAAACCTTTTATTCTCTAGGGTCCCACCCCCGCCGCCCCTGGTATCAGGAATCGAACTCACAACCTTGAGCTTGCCAGGCAGGTGCTCTGCCACTGAGCTAAATCCCCAGCCCCTCTGTAGGGTTTTTGTTTTGTTTTTTGTTTTCACTATAACAGTCTCACTATTTAATCCAAGCTGGCCTTGAACTTGTTGAAGGATCAGGCAAGGTTGGCCTGAAACTCATGATCCTTCTGCCTCAGCCTCCCAGAGTGCTGGGCTGATAGGCACACACCAGCACTCCTGGCTCCACTGATGTTATTATTAAGTGCTTTGTCCTGGTCACGTAGCAAGTGACTTGTCCATAAAGGGACATCATTGAGAATGCTATGAAAGTCACTAAAAAGTCTCAGAACTGAAATAAAGCATAATGATGATTTTATTATGATAAAATACCTGCTGGGTTTCTGTTGAGTTAGGTCCTGGACCAACATTCAGGGAAACAGAGCACTGAGAAGATACAGTATGAGGCTAGTTAAAATGATGGAGCAGGGTAGTTTTAGCTGAAACATGCTTTTAGAATAGTACAGTGATCAGGCACAGTGGTAATCCCAGCATGCCTATAATCCCAACACTCAGAAGGCTGAGACAGGAGGATCGCTGTGTGCTTGATGCCACCTGGGCTACATAGTTTAAGACCAACCTAAACTACCTAGCGAGACACTGTCTCAAAAACGAAAAAGAAGGCAAGAGCACACATAACATCCCCATCCCTGTCCATCTGGTGCACTTACATGGGTATTTTGGGGGAAGGAAGTAGAAAGGAAGTGCCGCATCCCTGTCAGTTTCTGATTCAACAGCTGCACTCTCTTATAAATCTGTATAAATCAGAGAGGCAGACGCCAACCACATCTCTGCCCTAATGCATCAAATCTACAGGGAAACCTGCTCCGAGCATTAAAATGCTATGGCTTGTGACCCATGCCGCTGTCCAATCCCAGGCAAATACTGACTTGCTGTGTTCCTTCCGGTTCTGCACAACAGCAGGAAGCGTGTAGGAAAACACAGTGTGGTCACTGATGTCTATCTGGAGGGCCCGGGAGAAGCACGTCCCGGTGCCCGTGTCTTTAGTGTTGTGTCCTCTCTACCCAGCAGGTTTATTCCCGGCCCAGCAGCCTCGTGTCCTCTAGCTCCCAGAGAAGCACGGGCTCTGATGCTGACGGTGAGCGCCAGTTTAACCTAAACGGCAATAGCGTCCCCACGGCCACGCAGACCCTGATGACCATGTATCGGCGGCGATCTCCTGAGGAGTTCAACCCGAAACTGGTGGGTGCCTCCTGTTCTTCCCTGAAACCTTCTATCCTATATTAGAGTAATACTGTTAAAAGTGTTTAATATAAGTAAAATCCTAGGTGTTTGTGGGGATAGAGATTGTCCTCTAAGCGGGGCAGTTTTCATCTAAATAAGTCACAAGGTGGCAGAGTGGCCTAATGGAGGGAGAAAAGACTGTAGAGGGTATGGGTGACTTTTCTGTGTCTGATTTTAACTGTTGTGGAAGTCAGACAATAAGTATAGGGTTTCTCAGCTCACATTAAGAACACAGTAACTCGTGGTCCCTTGGGAGTGTAGACCATAACTTTAACGGGCCTTGTACTGACCCATTTCAGGTTTGTGACTATAGGAAAGCTTCATGGCAGCCAAGGGTATAATAGATGTGTAAAATTGGGGAAGAAGTCCAGGGATTCTGGAGTTTTTTTCTCATTTGCTCTGTCCAGAACTTGACCACTTCATTCAACAGGGAAGATGTTCCCAACTTCTATCAGAATTCTCTTCAGCACCCTCCCGATACTTTGCAGTGAAGTCACGTTGCGTTGTGTCTTTCAGGCCAAAGAATTTTTGAAAGAGCAAGCCTGGAAGATTCACTTTGCTGAGTATGGGCAGGGGGTCTGCATGTACCGCACGGAGAAGACGCGGGCGCTGGTGTTGAAGGGCATCCCGGAGAGCATGCGGGGGGAGCTCTGGCTGCTGCTGTCAGGTATGGCTGCGCTGGTGCCAGGCGTGGGACCCCGGTCTGCTCCCACCTTCCGGCACTGGCCCCGTAGGTCAGAAGTTCTTTTGAGCAGCAACCCCTAGCTCAAAGCTGCATCTTATGTCCTCACCAGAATGGCAAGGGCCATCTGATTGACTCTGCCTTTTGCAAAAATTCAAGAACCCCTTATCCACAGGGGACACCTTCTGCAACTCCTAGTGAATCCACGTTCTGTGTCCCACTTTCCTATAGGGGACGTGGCCTAAGATTCCCAGTGGAAGCCTGAATCCACAGGCAATACCTAGCCCTGCTTATGCTGTTGTTTCCTGTACTTACACACCTGTGATAAAATTTAACTTAAAAATTAAGAAAAGTAGGAGATAAATAAATAAATAGAACAGTTGTAACAATCTACTGCAATAAGTTATTGAACACTTAACGATTTTTTCTATCTGGAATTTTCCAGTTTAATATTTTAGCTCTGTAGATAACCAGCCACTGCTTTCAGAAGTCCTAGAACATACAGTGCATTCTGGGGTTCTTTCCTGTCACAGACATTCCTTTGGGTTTCGCTGGCCCTTTAATTACTAGATATGGCAGTTGCTGGGTAATCACTCTTTTTGAAGGGGGAGTACCAGGAATCCAACTCAAGACCTCACAACTGCCAGGCAGGCATTGTGCCACTGGGCTGAATCCCGGGCCCCTGGGTAATTATTCTGAATAGGGTTTTGTGGCTGTTTTCATATGAACCTGAGATGGTGAAACACAAGTAACATTAGTAAACCCTTTTACTTAAAAAAATGACATTAAAACCAAAAGAATAAGCTTCCAGACTTACAGAAAAGCGTTGTTAAGGAAAATAAAAACCTAAAGGTCTTTCTAACAGTGTTTCGAACTGGTAAAATTGCCTAGAGTGAGATGTAGAAACAGCTCAGAAGTAAAAGGTAGAGTCCTGAAAATGATTGGTTTTATCCTTGTTGTGTAAAGTCAGTTTGTTTCGTCCTCCTCTGCTTGTCTAGTTTTTCATTTTCCATGAATAGACCCACCACAGCTCCTCACTTAAAGCCCCAGTTTGATCAAGCCAAGAAGATCATGACTGTACAGCCACCTCTTGTCTCCCTGTTTGGTGAACTAGTCGCCGTGGCAACCAGATTCTGATCACTGACGTATAAATGAGAAATTCCATTTTTATCCTCTTCATTCAAATTAGATGTTATTTACGACCACATTTTCAATGAAAATGAAACACAAACCAAGCACCGGGAATCCTGTGAGCCACCGCAGGGCACAGTCCTGTTGCAGAAATGCGTTTAGGGCTCACATCTCAGTGTTTACTTTAACAGTGACGGTCTGTGTGCAACCCAAGGGTGACCTGGTCCACACACTGCCCAGAATTCCACACATCCAGCTGTGGGCTGCACATGGACACCAGCTTCCCCACGTGGAGAGCTCAGCGCATCCTAGGGGAGCCCACCTTGGGACTCCCTGTGCTTCCCGTAACCCCGAAGGCCACAGCACCAGGATCCAGGCTCAGTGAGTCCCTTGCAGGGAAGCACAGTACCTTTCTCATGAGGACAAAGCAGAAACCAATTTGATGGTACTATCCGAGAGGCTGCCTTGTCTAGGGCAGGCAGGAGTAGTCAGGCTGGCTTTGCAAAGCCTGTCGGGGACACGGACTGGGCCTTGTGTGTTCTAAGTTATATGTAACTAATATGAAGATAAAACTCAAAATCACTAAAGTATGCAACGAAATGGCTTTTAGTGTATTCACAGAATTGTATAGTGATGGGCACAATTAATTTTAGAACGCTGTCATTATTCCCCAAGAAAACACCTTATACCTTTTATTACCAGTTATTCTGTTTGTCCTCAAGACTCTTCCCATCCACAGGCAACTACTAATCTACTTCCTGTCTGTGCGTATTTGTCTGCTCTGGACATCTCGTGTGAAGGGAGTCTGATGATGTCCAGAGGGTTTTGTGACTGACTTCTTTCACTTAGGATGTTCACAGGCTTCAGTCGTGTTGTGTGTATCAGCATTTCATTCTTTTTTTTTTTTTTGTACTGGGAATCGAACTCATGACCTCAGGCTTGCCAGGCAAGCACTTATGCCACTGAGCTATATCCCTGGCCCAGCATTTCATTCTTTTGATTGCAAATATTACACCTTTTGTGAATATACTAGACTTTATTTATCATCAGTTAGTGAACATTTAGGTTGTTTCTACTCTTTGGGTACTGTGGCTACTATTGGTGCTACAAACATTCATGTGTAAGTTTTGAGTGGACATAAATTTTCGTTAATGTTGAGTATGAACCTGGGAGTGGAATTTCTGGCACATACGCTGGGCTTCTGTTTAAATTTTTAAGGAACTGCTAGGATATTTTCCAAAATTGTTGATTCTTTTCACATTCCCACCAGCAATGTATATATAAGGGTTCCAGTTTCTCAAATCTTCAGCAGCGCTTGTTGTTATTGTTGTTGTTATTATTATTGTTTTGTTGAGAGAGGGTGTTATGATGTGTCTACATCACCCCCCAGAGACTCATCCAGTCATGGAGGTGGGCTTTTCCAGAGGTGGCTGATCTAGAGTGTGTGATTTTTGTTTTGTTTTGTTTTGTTTTTGTTTTTGTTTTGTTTTGTTTTTCCAGTACTGGGAATCGAACTCATGACCTTGCACTTGGCAGGCAGGCGCTGTGCCACTGAGCTAAATCCCCAGCCCCTAGAGTGTGTGATTGATTTATAGTGCAGTGATGAGATTAAGGGTGCCTAGGATTAAGGATTGGTGATTGCTAGATCCATCCACTGATTGGATTGGCACTGCCCTAATCCCAGTAGATTGGATATAATATAAGGGACAGAAAGAAACTTGCCTTCTCTTTCTGTCTTGCTACGCTTTTGCTGTCTTCTGCCGCCATGAATTATTGCCCCTCTGCTATGCCACTCTGCCTTGGATCCAGCCAGTTATGGGCTGAAACCTCTACAAACTGTGAGCTAAATAAACCTTTCCCCCTTTAACTTTGGGTGTTGGGTGTTTTGTCTCAGCAATAAGAGAAAAGTAACTAAGACAGAGGGTCTCACTGTATAGTCCAGACTGGCCTTGAACTAACCCTGTAGCCTAGGCTGACCTCGAACTTGTGGCAGTCCTCCTGCTTGAGCCTCCCAAGTTCTAGGACTACGTATGCATGCCGCCCCACCTGGCTTACCTGTCCTTTTATTATAGTTATCCTGGTGAGTGGTGGTCATTTTTCATTATGGTTTTGATTTAACGACTATCATGTTGAGCCTATTTTCATGGGCTTATTGGCTATTTGTGTATCTTCCTTGTAGAAATATCTACTCTGATGCTTTGTCCAGCTTTAATTAGGTCATTTTTCTTTTGTAAGTTGTAAGAGTTGTAAGAGTTTTGAGGCCTATTTTAGACACAGACCTGTTATCAGATTTTCAAAATTTCTCATTCTGTGGGTTTTTTCACTGAAAAGTAAACTTCGATGCACAAAAATTTAATTTGATGAACTACAGTTTACCTATTTTATTCTTTCGTTGCTGTGGTTTCATGGCATGAAGATTTATGCCTGTGTTTGCAGCTAAGGCTTTTATAGTTTTAGGTCATTGATCCATTTCAAGTTAATTTTTTACTTGGGGTTGGATAATGACCTACTCCATTCTTCTCTTTCTTTCTTTCTTTTTTTTTTTGGTACCGGGGATCAAACTCAGGACCTTGCGCTTGCCAGGCAGGCACTTGTGTCACTGAGCTAAATCCCCAGCCCCTGACCTACTCCATTCTTTTCCATAGGGATATTCATTACTTCAGCATCATCTGTTGAAAGTTGAAAGTCTGTTTTTACCCCTTGAATTGTCTTAGCACCCTTATCAAAAAATAAATGGAGGACCACAAATGTGAGGGGTTCTTCGGTGCTGTCAATTCCAATCCATTGATCTATACCTCTTTTTGCCAAAACCCTCATAATCTTTTTTT